AGATTTTTTAGATATAATTTTCGTAAAAGAATATAATAACTTGTAGATTTCATGAAATTATCAGGTTACTTTATAATAGTGAAAGATTGCATGCCACTAGCAGGACTGGTATTATTAAAAATATTCTGTTTGCAGTATATATGTATAATTAAGATTAGCGATGCGTAGTATCAGCTGGCGGTTTTTCAACTATATAAGTAGACTAACCATAAATTATATTTATCAAGTGAAAGAAAGATTAGATACAGATTAGGATCACTTTAGTTAGAAATTTTATTTTCTGTATCATATTACTAAAACAGACAGTACGTTAAATTATACTTACTATAATAGTTGTTTGGGGGTTTTAACAATCACGATACTAATTTAGTTAGATGAAAGTTATAATTTAATATCGCCCACTTTGTTATCATTATTATCAATCAGGTCTAAGGGCTGTTAATACTAGATTGGCCAATTTAACCTGATCTCTTACTTGCAGAACGTTTGTGCAGTTAGTGACATATAAAAGTGAGCCATGAGCATATCGCTATTTAGACATTTTTTGTTGATTTGCTGTTACTTTGAAATATAGCATATATAAATCCAGAATACGATTTGTATCTAGCAAAATTTTAGTGCTTTTTAGAATGTCTAGTTCAAAGAAGCGTAGTAATAAAACGTTGTCCTCTCAACAAAGTAAAAGAAGTCGTAATAATGATAATGATTTGCTTTTTGAAGAGCCTCAATAGATTGATATTGGGAATAAAAGTAGTTGGGTTTGGAAATATTGTGGGGTAAAAACTGATGGTCGTGCTTATTGTAGATATATTATAAATGAGAACGAAGAGACAGAATGTGGATGGAATTGTGTATATAACTCTCAAACTAGCAGTATGATTCATCATTTAGGGTCTGTATATAAAAAATACGAAGAGAAGTTAGTAAGTAAAATTTAAATAAAAATAAGATTATTTTTACAGTATATAATTAAAATTTTAATATTTTTACTCATGTATTAATTTTTAGAAACAAACAAAAATTGACGATCAATTAAAGAAAGTAATACCGCATAAAGAATCAAAACAAAATGAATTACAATGCTCTGTTACAGACTGGATAATTACAGATTCTCAACCTTTTAATGCAGTAAATGGATTAGGATTTCAGAAAATGATTAAAAAACTTGATCCAGCATTTCGTTTACCATGTTATAAAACTATTAAGAAAAATTTGGGTATTGGATATCAATCAACATTTCAAGCAATAAAAGAATTAATTAGTACATCATGCAAGAATGCAGCTATAA